ACGCTGATATCGAACATCACGTCGGTTTTTCTGGGTTAGGTGTTCGGTCAATGTTCCCCGCAAAAATAGGAATTTCCCTACAAATCTAGCTTTTCCAGAGAAGTATCAATGTTCCGAAAAATCTGTGCATGATGGAAAAAAGTTAAATCCGTGTTCGGATTCAGCAGCCAACATCGCGTAGGGAATTCAGTATTGCATGCCTATCAAAGTTTCTTTCTAATCCTAATATCGAGGTTTTTCCGGACCAGTGCTCCTATTCGCCCATATATAACACTATGTATAACTCATCCGATTGTTTGGCGCCGGAAAGGAAATGGGTAAGGAAAAAATTTTTCTCAGGTAACTAGTGGCTGATTCTCATTCAATTTTTGGGTGTAGTTCCGTACTTACTCGGGCTTCTTTTTAAACCTGCAAACGGTACCCCCTACACAGTTCCGTACTCGGGCTTCTTTATTTAGGGCTGAATACACGATCAGCCTGAGCTTAAGTCTGGCGTCAGTTTGGCATTTGCTCAACAGTCGAATTTCTTAAATTTGATAATTCTCAACTGACTTTTGCATTTAATTAGATAAAAAGTGAGAAGACGAGTGGAATTCATCTAATTCGGAACGTTGATTGATGGTCAGGATTTGGCGGCCCGCTAAATCCTGACGTTCACCAAGCAACAGACTCATCAAACTGACGCCAGACTTAAGCTCAGGCTGATCGTCTATTCAGGCCTTTTAAACGAAGTTGGATTTACATAGAGTACCTTTATAGACAGAGTATGCCTCTTTTTTTGCGGGTTTTTCATTCGTCGCGTGACAATATGCTGACACGATGTAGTTTTCCTGTAGTAAAAAGATCCGAATGATCATACTCTGTCTATAAAGGTACTCTAGATTGACATAAGGAATGCATATACTATGTTTAGAGTAAGCACTATGTTTTGAAAACAAAAATATAAATCTTTAATATGTTTTGAAAACAAAAATGTAAATCTTTATGCAAAATTAAAACAAATTAAAAACAAAATCTTCCTTAGAAGTAGAGGTATTAGGAGAGGATAGGATAGAGAGGATAGATAGGTAGAGGATTAGGTTTTAAGTTGGTTTACATCAAAGACATAAAGACGGAGTGCTCGTATCTGAAAGCACGGGGGAAAAGTGAAGCCTGGTTTGGCGCTGGGTGCTTGTGTGAGTGTGTAAATGAGCGCGGGAATCCATGGCGGCAAACAGAAATTTGATTTGAACTTGTCCTCTTGATTTTTCCACATTTCTTCTTCGAAACGTATTTTAAATGCCTAAAACGAATATATTAAGAAAGTTTGGTCTGCGTCCTATTATATTACACCTACTTTTGCTCGGTAACAGGCAATAATCTCAGATTAAGTTAGTTTTTCTTCTGCTCATGGTGGTTCTGCATCTGCAGGTTCAAACAGGCCGTTACAATTCTAGATGACCGTTACTCCCAAATGAAATTAATCGGTCGACAACGGACCAGAACTAACCTAGAGTTGACAAAATATGAGTGGGTAAGTGAATTTGGGCAAAAATCAACCTAGAATACTTTGTTTCCGCAATTTTATTTAGTTTCCGCCCTACATTTGAATTTCAAACTTGTCCCGATTTCGCCGCCAATCCTCTAGCCAATAGTAGAGGTGATTGAAAAGAAGCTTCTGAAGCTTCATTTTTTGCTTTTAGTGCTCCGTTTTTATGTCTTTGGTTTACATAATGTTAGGTCAGGTAAGGTTAGGTCAGGTAAGGTTAGGTTAGGTTAGGTAAGGTTAGGTTAGGGTAGAGGGGTAGGGGCCTTAAGGTTAGGTTAGGGGGGAGGGGAGGTTAGGGTAGGGTAGGGGGCTCTGTCAGGTAGAGGATAAGTTTTTAAGTTGGTTTACATATTGTTAGGTTAGGTAAGGTTAGGTAAGGTTAGGTTAGGTAAGGTTAGGGTAGGAACGGTAAGGTTAGGTTAGGTTAGGTAGGGTTAGGGTAGGTAAGGTTAGGTTAGGTAAGGTTAAGTTAGGAAGGGTTAGGGTAGGTAAGGTTAGGTTAGGTTATGTTATGTTAGGTAGGGTTAGGGTAGAGTCCCTTTATACTGAGAGTCAAGACGATTTGAATCCATTTCTGATTGGTTCCCGTATTTTAGGCCTTCACAGTGTCACAAACGGGAATAAAGATTACATTTTCACCAATTGCAAAGATTATAATCTGGAATGGACCAGGGAATTACGGGTTCGGCAAGGAACAAACGGAATGAGAGGAGGAACGGAGAAAGGCATTTGAGAATGGGCCGATCAAAGATTACGAAAAACGTTCAATTTCTGTAATCTTTATTCCCGTTTGTGACATCCATGAGCCGACTTGTCTTGACTCTCAGTATAAAGGGACTCTAGGTTAGGGTAGGTAAGGTTAGGTTAGGTTAGGGTAGGTAAGGTTAGGTCAGGGTATGTTAGGTAAGGTATCTGTCCCATCTGGTGTTTTTCTATGTGTTTTGAAAGAGAGAAGCCCGAGTACGGAACTGTATGGGGGTACCGTTTGCGGGTATGAAAATAAGCCCGAGTACGGAACTTTCTCCCAATTTTTGCCTCTGAATCCAATAATGATCTTATTTTTCATCTAAAATCTACCAAATTTTTGAAAAATAGATTTTTCAGCTCAAAAAAATCCCCTCTTATTGCGATATTGATTTTTCCGAAGGTTTTTGGAAGAGAACGAGGATCATTTTCGGCTGCAGTGTCAAGAATTGAGCGGGAATAACTCCACTTGTTATGCGAGAAATAAAAGTTTCCTCTCTTCTCCGACGTATAACGATCGGATGAGTTTTACATGGCGTTATAAGAGCGGAAAGGAGCACTTGTCCGAAAAAATATTGATGTTAGGAATAGAGAGGAAACTAGAATAAGCATGCGATGAATGGCTATTGTGTAATTTTGGCAGCTGAATCCGAAAATCACCGAATTTTTTCTCCTGTCACTCAGTCTGCATAAACTGCTACGTGCAAAGCTCGTAAGGGTCACTAGTCATTGATAATTTTAATGTAGAGGTGAATTTATCTTCTGCTATGGCAATGTTCCAACGATTCGCAACGCTATCATTGCCAACTGAACACATTTTGCCTTCAATCCCAGACGAGTAGGGCCTACCCTCAGTGTGAGTAAACAATTCAAGTTGCTTTTTCTCCATCTTAGGTAGGCCAGGTCGGAAAAATTACATTTTTTTCCCGGAAATGAATCATTTTGAAAAAAAGTTGTATTACCATGTCAGAATAACATATACAAAATTTGGAGCGCATAAATCAACTCTAGACCTCTCCGCCTTCGCGATTTAGGCGTAAATTTTAAGAATGCATTTTAAAGAACGGAAAAAGGTTTCCAGTAGATTTCTTACAAATTCAGCAATTCAATTTCCACTTCTAGAATAAAGCCATAACAAACACTTAAGATTAGAAATAATAGACTGCTTCCCTAAATGAAGTGAGGGAGAACTAACCAAGGCAAAAAATCAATGAATGAATCTTAAAAATGAATTTGAATGCATGAGCAAACTTTAGATAAGGGTTATATCTCATGCAGATTGCCTAGTTGTTTGATGAACAGACTTGGAGCAAAATCTGCAAAATCCATTGTCAGAAATATACAGAAAAATAGGAATTATCCGGTTTCAACCAGAATAAGTATACAAATTAACTGGTATGCGAATTATCTGCCCCGCTTCGCCACCCTGCAGCATTGTGTGAACTAGGTATGAATGCTCCCTTATAAATTCCCTTAGATTTATTATTTCTACCGGACAAGGTTTGTTTCCTCTTGGCACCAGTCTGAACATAGAGACATTAGAGTACCTTTAAAGCGAGAGAATAGACCGATGTGAAACTCCAAAAATCAATCAGGCCTTCACCAATGCCTTTGCGAATAAAGTTAGGGCCCAGAGATGCAGCCAACCTATGAACTTCAATTATCCAGAGCGATTAGCTAGTACAATTATTACGAACCATCGTTTATAAGGCACGTATTTGACTCATTTTTAGCATAAATTTACTCAATTATGCAGAAGAACGCTCACATTCTTAGCCATTTTAGTTAGAATTGGAATCAGCTGACTGGCAGTGAAATTTTGTATGTTTAATGTTTGTTAGAAAAGTGGCTGCACTTTTAGGCCCTAAGCCCTCCATGAAGCGATCTGTCCACACTCTCACAATCAGTGGCGTGGCGTGCTTTGCGATAAATCAATTGTTTCGCCATTTAAACCTATGGAAAAAGATCGATTATCAGGGCGTTCGCAGCAAACACCTTAATAATCGATTCTTTACCATAGCTTCAAATGGCGATATATCGATAATCGATCCTTCACGCCACGCCACTGCTCACAATAGAGGTACTCTAGAGACAATTATGTATATATGTGTTACGTCATTCTGAATTTGTAAATAAATGAAAAAGGAGTATTCGTGATAGACAGCAGGCCTCGACAGAAATTACCCGATGTAAATGTTACAAGATTTACAGTTGTTTTTTAAATATTATTGAGACATCAATTTTAACCTAGTGACAGTCATGGCCGCTCAAAGCTCACCGCAACACCCTTTACTGCTGGTGAGTGGAGCGTTGCACGTTGAAGGAGGTAAGCAAAGTCATGTGCCGGAGGTGAAGCTTCAGTTCAACCGGGGGTAATTCCCTGGGAAATTCGCCATATCAATCTCTATTGCGTATCTCAAACACACGTAAAGAAAAAAACCTGATGGCATCTGCCAGGGCCCAAATTTTGTTGGCTTCAGTCAATCGCATATTGCAATCTTTACGTCAGACTTTCAGTTGGGTAAATTACATCCTTAACTTAGGCTGTGCATGAGTTGATCATTTCTTACGGCAGGCTAGAGCCATCCTCAGTTTCTTAACACTGCAAACTAATAATCAACGATACAACAACAGAGTCAACATCCTTGCTGCTGCTTATGGCAAACCGCAAGTCTGTCAACGAATTAAAAGCTAAAAAATCAAGCAAAAGAGAGGAGAAATAGCTTACTTTTTGAGTTCCGGCGGATGTGCTTTGCTCATAATTTAGAAATTGGAATTTTTCTGTAGACTGACAGGGGTAAAAAAATTCTAAAAAAAAAAATGAGATATTCCTGAAATCCCGAGTCCTGTACCAGTACCACAACTGTACCATAGAGAAAGAAAAGGAAGTGCTTGCAGCGTGAGCTTGAGGTTTGTTTACCCTGTGACGTAGTCGTCACAACCTCACAACCTGGACAACGAAATCCGGAATTCGAAATAAGAAAAACGGACCATAATATCCGATTTTTTTACTGAAATCAACTCATTATATAATTTCAAGCACTTTTTAGAGACTGACTTTTTTCCTTAAATTTCACCATTTCCAAGAAAATCGACAGGATAAACGTCGCTGTACCGACCTACGTCATCAAATCATCAAAAAAATTTCAAGATGCCCGAAACAGTGTTCAGAAGCATAGAATAAAGAGACTACTGTATTCATCTGAGTTTGAAACCAAGGTTCAAATCACGGCATAAACGATACGGAACTAACGAAATGTAGGTTTCCGAAATTTGTGTTTGAAACCTTATTTTACACTAGCTATGTTTATGCGAGCCTCTTAACCTAACTTCAATCGAAACCTGAGTTTGAAACCAAGGTTCAAATCACGGCATAAACGATACGGAACTAACGAAATGTAGGTTACCGAAATTTGTGTTTGAAACCTTATTTTACACTAAAGACTAGGTTTTCGCACTCCGCATAAACGAACCGGAGGTTGAAATTAGTTGAAATTCGACTTCAAATGCGATTTTCAGGTGCGCGATCGGCAATATGGCGGATTTATTATCATA